CCCCAGATAAAACAAGAGGGAAATTTTTTGCAGCGGCTCGTTTCAAGTATCGAAAAACGCACCACAATGGCTCGTTCTACTCCGCTGTCCGCGAGCCCGTGCGTTCGCTGGTTGGCCCTGGCGGCTACGATGTTGGTCATATTTGGGGAAATTCCCTCTGTTCTTGGCCAGCTGCGTTTTGCAGCACTTGGAAACTACGGATATGACACCACTGGGCAGAAAGAAGTCGCGGAAACCCTCAAGAAGGCCGCAACTGAAAACCGCATCAGTTTCCTAGTCAGCCCGGGCAGCAACTTTCCTAATGGGGTGTCCGGCGCGAGCGACTCCAAGTGGGAGGAATTATTTGAAAACGTCTACTCTGACGAGAGCGGTTCTTTGAAAATGCCATTCTTGACAGTGCTTGGCGCTGATGACTGGGCCGGCAACTACACGGCCATGCATGACCGAACAGACCTTGTCTATGGAGATAGCTCCGAAGCTGAAGTTCTCTCCAACACCCCCAAATGGACTCTGCCTAACTGGTGGTATCATTACGCTGTCCACTTCGCTGCCAACACTGGTAAGTGCTTGTTCATGCGTTATTTTGATTCGTGGGTTGCAGCTGCTGCAGCTGCAGCTGTTGTTTGCATTGCAGCAACTCAGATTTCAGCTGCTTAGTTTATACTTAAAGTTTTTCTGCATCTGCTACTCTTCTGACTGGCTCGTATTGAACATGAACGTGCTTAATTTGTGCAGGAAGCACCTTTATCAGCTCCGGCCATAAAGACATGAGCGTAGGTATGGTGTTCGTTGACACCTGGGTGCTTTCCTCTGCCTTCCCCTTCGGCAACGTGACGGAGAAGGCGTGGAAAGACCTCGAAAGAACACTTGAAATCGCTCCAAAGGTATTCGATTATATCATTGTCGTTGGCAACAGACCCATATACAGCAGCGGATCCTCCAAGGGCGATTCCACGCTGCAATACTACCTGCAGCCCCTCCTGAAGAAAGCTGACGTTGACGCGTACATTTCTGGATACGATCGGGACATGGAAGTCATTGAGGTAAGCCAGCTATCTCTCTTATGCCCCTTTTACGCAATATATGCATGATATTTCGTTCGCTTTAGCGCGGCGCGAGCTGCGTCTGGTCTCCAAAGCCTTTTTCTTACCGTGCAATGAGCACGCATTTCCTTGGTGTTTGTGATTTGTGTAGGAGGATGACATTTCCTACATCAACTGCGGTACGGGCTCTCTCTCCGGCAGCTCGGCCCTCGTAACATCTTCAGGCTCTAAATTCTTCAGCGGCAACAGAGGTTTCTGTCTCTTTGAGATGACAGCTGAGGGGCTTGTAACGAAGTTCATCAACGGAGCAAACGGAGAAACACTTTATGAGCACAAACAGCCGCTCAAGAGCAGGCCTGAGAGATCCACCGTAAGCCGCCATAACAACGCGTACTCCACGCTGTTCACGTCTACAGAAACCTAAGCCAAGGCAGAAGATGATGAACAAATTAACAGTTCCGCACAGTTTCTAACATTATAGCGTTTGATTCGTGCTTNTTTTCAGATCGACCAGTTCAACTACCTCAGCGAAATGCCCGAAGTGGAGTACTTCCCGGTCCCTGAGATGGGAAAGCTTCCTGGTAAAGACGTCTTTGTTCGTGTAGTCGGGACCATTGGTCTCTGCATTTTGACTTTCTTGGCCACTCTGGGTGTCGCTACGGGAGTTTCTCGAGCGATGAAGTAAAAATAAAATAAATAATTGAAATTGCTTTAGTGCTTTAGCTATTTTAAACGGCCCCCCGAACCGACAGTTCGCGCTGCCGGAAGCGTGTGTGCGTGCATGCGACGCCAATTAGTATGTCTGTGTGCTCAAGCATGGCACACCTTGCATAGAAATACAACATTGTAACAAACGCATATCGCAGCCTATCGCTGTGCTCGCACACCGCAAGGGCTGGATACATGCTTACAGCCCGGTGGGAGCCCGGCCGCTGGCGGGAACTGTCGTTTCGTACGCCACAAACCTTTTAATTTGCTGCCTGTCAGCGGTTTTACCAATCTACAGAAAGTTGCAGCAACTGTAGTCGACTAGCGGTGCTTAATTAGGTACAGCAAACTCTCTTCTCAGCCTAGTTACACTAGAAATTCCTGCTTTTTTGTCTGTATTGGAGCTCTAATCCTAAGTCAAACGACAGCAACAAGCAACGAAGGGCGAATGGCGGCAAGAGTTGAGCTGTCTATACACCTCAGCTGCTCACAGCGCGTTCGGGAAAGAGTCCAAGTGTCGGGGCATTGTCTTAGTGAGGCAACAGAAAGCACAACAAGTGCTCAGTGGCCTTCAGAACGAATTGAGGAAAGCTGCTGCTGCTGCTGTAGTGTAGCAGCAGCAGCAGCAGCAGCAGAGTAGTGCTGCTGTGAGAAACACATATGGCGTTCCGAACAACGAATTCCCACTGAGATAGAAAGAGAAGACGGCTGGAATAATCAAATGAAATACCTAAGCTGCCTCACAGCTGACAACGCGACAGCACACATATGCAAAGGAATGCATTTTACATCTGTCGTTCGGTGAGGTGTGCGGGGCTGAGACCCACAAAGACAGTGCCGCCACAGCAACAGCAAGCAGGAGGCAGCCGCCGCCGTTCTCTTCGTTTAATTCCCCTTCCATTCGTGCATGCAAATAGTATTATATGTAAAGAGAGGAATAAACTCTGCTGCCAACGCCGTGCACGTCTTGGTCGCATTTCCCGTAGTCCGCCTTACACCTCCAAACAGGCCTCCACGCTGCAGCTGAAAATCCCACGAGCGCTGCTGCTGCTGCAGCTGGTGCTGCAGCTGCTACTGCTGCAGCTGCTGTTGCTGCTGCTGCTGTTGCTGCTGCTGCTGCTGCTGCTGCAGAATACAGCAGCAGCAGCAGCAGCAGTCTGCGCGGTTGCAGCGGCGGACTGAATGCCTTTAGGAGCACATCTTCGCCCTCTCTAAAAGGGTCTTCGGCAGCTGCAGG